CTGAACCCTAATCTTCTGTTTTCATGGAGACTTCTTTACACAGGCATATTTGATTAAATCATCGGCCATTGGTGATTGATCCAATCTCCAGCTCTCTCCCCTCCCCAGAGGTCAGGGGGTTCCACCGAAAGTTCCAGTCCTCTCTAGTCACATGGTTGACCCCCTGGCAACTAGCCCCCATCTTTAGGTGCTTTTCAAATCATTTCACTAACATAACAGGAGACATATTTATAACTCTCATCGTTTAGGGCATTCCAAGGGTTTTAGGGACACATAGAATCGGCTCTGGAACATAAATATGGGTTGACTGATCAATCCCTTGTTCATACAGACTGGAGACTTGGCTATTAATCACTGCTTCCAAGGTTTAGACTTCCAGGTCAGGTCTTCTGAAGAATATACATATTCACATTTCTCCATGATTTACTGGCTCTGCATACCCACCCTGCTGGTAACAGTGCATAATAATAAAACAACTTTTCTAAGAAGTTATAAAAATATTGATTCGGGCTTTATGAATCTGCCAAAAAAGCCAAAGACAGATGCTTATACTCAGAACGTCAAGACCCTTTTTAAATTTTGCGATTGCTAAAGCAGATGCCAGATGGCATCGTAATTTTAGTATTGATTCTAAACGGTTCAATACAGGTTGACAAGCCGGAGCCCCACAGCAACCTATCAAGCACAGGTGTTCCACCAGGCACAGAAGGGTCTTCTGGTAGCCGTTGTTTGCAAGGCTTGAATAGGTATTAACTTGGGAATAAAGAAGGGAGGGCGGTAAGCGCAATATTCAGCCTTGAAATGAAGATTGGTTTGAAATCAAAGAGCTTCTCGTGGGCCAAATGGCAGTGACACAAACACGTGTGTCCTTCGGAGGTGGCGCTTATGCCGTCTTCATGTGGAAAACGTATCCTAGGCTTCCTGGCAGCCAGCCCAATGAAAGTTGGCCCCCAGGTGCAGGACCGTCTGTTTTGCCAGTAGCCGAGCTCAGGTTTGCATTCTTTGAAGGCGAAGCCCCGAGTAGCAGCGATACTGCAAAACCACTCAACTCTCATTTTAGATTTCTGGGCAGAGGGGGGTGGGGGAGAGAGAGAATGACCATTTCTCTGTAGAAGCCTGTATTTAAGTTGAAATGGAGCCTTGCTGTCTGTCTTGGAAAGATCAGAGCTTCTGAAATCGGTTGCTCTCCAATGCAAACGGGGCACTGTGGAGGTTGGCAGCGGAGTCCCTCCGGGGCTTTGGCCTTCGCAGACGCTACCTGCCCCGCGGTGCAATGTTCAGCCAGGAAAAACCTGGACATTTACTGTTGTTCTTGGCTGAGGGTGGTATGAACCCCGTTTTCCAGAAGGTAGGAAAACAAATCAGTCAACTGCAGCATCGAAAAAAGATGGGGGCCCAGGCGGAGAGACTGTCTAGATCTGGCTTGGAAGGAATCAGAAAGGAGAAGAAACTGTAGTAAGAATCGAATAAAATCTGTAATTTACATGCATCGTTTTTTTTTCCAGGAGACTTTTTTTTTTTCAATTTCAGTTTATAGTCAATATTATTTTGTATTAGTTTCAGGTGCACAACATAGCGGTTAGACAATTATACCCTCTACTAAGTGATCTCCCCCAATACTTCCAATACCCACCTGGCACCATACACAGTGATACAATATTCTTGGCTATATTCCCTGTGCGGTACTTGACATCCCGTGACTCTTTTGTAACTACCAATTGATACTTCTTAATCCCTCCACCTTTTTCGCCCAGCCCCCCACAAGTCCCCAACCTGTCACATGTCAGTCTGTTCTCTGTATCTACGAGTCTGTTTCCATTTTGTTTCGTGCACGCATATTTTTTTTAAACCTCCTTCATGTGGGTTAAACCTTCCACGTGAAACAAAGTTCTGCCTCTCAGTCCTTTTAGAGACGGCAGCATTGCTTCGTGACCACCAGCCCGTCTCTGGGCCAGCACGTGGAAACCGAGTCACGTTTATCAGTCTGACCAGCCACAGTCCTTGGTATTCACTATGCACATTTGGAGTGGAAGTCGGGATGAGAAAGGAAAGGGTCGCACTCTGGGCAAAGGATGGCTTTAGAGACCTGCTCGAGACCCCAGCTGTATCTTGGCCCACCTGCTAGGTCCTGATTGCACCTGGAGGTACCCCACACCTGGAGGTGGGCGTAGGCTCTGACAACAGCCTTACTGGGCCCACTCAGGAGGCCTGCAGTGAGGCGCTCCCGCTGAGACCCAGCCATGGCAAGGGCGCCAGGCTTTGCACAGCATCTCCCTTGTGGCCACCTCTGCTGGAGGGTGTGATGAACCAGCAATTACAGTGAGTACATCTGTCCTAAAACATACTTCCCGTGGGATGGAATCCTGCGCTCCCAAAGTAACAGGGCTCGTGGGAAAATGGAATCAGGGCAGAAAACTCAAAACCTTCCACCATCTTGTAAGTGATACAAGGAAAATACCACAATTTTAATGTAAACATCCTAAGTGCCTAATAAAGGCACATTATATTAAATATAGAATGTTGTTTCGACGAGACAGGAAGTTTGCGTGGTAGAGGTGTTTATAGTTTTCCGAATGAAATGGGGTAAATGGCTGTGGCTTATTGTCCTGTTTTTCCTACCTCTGAAGTGGTTTAAAACAGAAATCCGACTGTCACCGTTGTGCTAATCGCCCCCTCTCACTAAGAAGCCTTGCCTGGGGCCCCCGATGAGATCGATGACGCCCTTGCTCTCCTGCTGACCGAGGCTGCAGTTATTCGGGGACCCTCAGATCAGTGCTCGTCCATTTTCAGTCCCCTGGAAAGCAGGTGATTGTTGGGAAGTTAAGTTGAAGCTCGCTGTGTTAGTTTCCGGTGCTGTCTCCTAGGTTCATCAGCCTGATCCCTTTAGGCCGACAGGACGTAGCTGTATCACATTCTATTTCGGAAAGTCTCAGTACTTGAGGTTTTTCTGTTTTCCTTTGCTACTTCTATCAGGACACGTCCTCAGGTTTTACTGAGAAACTACTGCAGGCAATGCACTTGGGTACAGTGGAAAAAGAAGGCGTTTTGTATTCGTCTCCCACAGGTCATTAGCTCTGCTGTGTTTTCCACATTCACCAGGTGTCACCCAATAGCACGGCACAGGCACCAGATGAAAAACTGCACAGGAGCAAATACCATTTTGGTTTCAGTGACGTAGTCCTTATTCATGGACTCTAATTTTCACCTTACAGACAGAGCAACAGAATATAGATCTCAGCTTGCTCTTCCTTGCCGCATGACCCGTGACATAATTAGGGGTTCCTTCATTTTCTGCAAGAAGCTTTATTTTTGAAAGTTCTCTTACGTTTCTTCTTTTCATTTTACTGCAGTAGAAGCTGTGCTCCTGTTGGTCCAGGCTGTCTTGCTCCCTCAGGGTGCTGGATCCTTCCCTGGAGTTGAGGTTTTATTTGGCTACTTGTGGTTGTGGTCTCTCGGGACACGTGCAGGCCAGGTGGTTACACGGTCCAGCACCGGCAGGTGGGCGGCTGCTCTGGTGCGAAGGCTCTGCTCTGGTTCTCTCAATGCAGAAGGGAGCCAGCGCCTACGGCAGGGAGGGGCCGGTCCACCATCGAGCCTCTGCTCAGGTCTACACCGGTCTGCAGGCTCAGGGGCCTCCTCCACCAAGGGACTCACCCCCAGCACCTGAGGTGGACGTTAGTCTCAATATCCTGATTAGATATTTACTGTCAGGACGACTGGGCTCCATATTCCCACAGAGCATGTTGTGATCTCCTTGAATCCTGCAGTTTTGTTGGAAACAAGGACTTTCTCCGTGAACTATGTGCCAGGCGTTGTTCGGGGTGCTTAGGATAGAGACCAAGATTCCTCCTGATGAAAGCTGCTGCCTCGGGAGCCGGGGGCTTGTTGCATCTTTGCTCCTCGGGAGTGAGGGGGTGGAGCTGCTTTTTGGTCCAACAGTTTAAATTAACTGCCAGTCCCTGCTGACTGGCAGCTGTTGACTTGTACCTGGTTGTGTTCGCTTGACTACAGTTTGTGACATGCAAACAGAAATACACCTTTTCTCATCTACCAGTGGCTAAGTGCATGGGCTTTTGGGCCAATCAGCCTGGATTTAAATCCTGAATTTACCACTCATCAGTTCTGCGACCTCGCCCAAGCTACTAAACCTGTGTGCCTACTTTCAAAGGGGAGGACGACATCTTACACATCATAGGGTTGATGTATGGAAGACACGAATTAACTTATGCAAAGCAGTTGTGTCTGGCACATTAGCAGGTGGCTACAGCAATACTTAATATTTAATGCCAGTTCCTGTAACATCCATCATAGTCACACGTCACGTCAGCACCTCCGACTCCCAGGTGCACACGTTCACAGGTGTAGCTATAGCTCCTTGCCACCCTGCAAGTCTGTATGCTCTTTGCTGGGGCATGTGTTGGGGGAAGACGTGTAATTTCAGTGCCTCGCTCTGTGCTGAGTGAAGGGGAAAGGCGGTCTGAAATCCACCCCTTCATTGGCTAGGGCAAGAGAAGGGGAAAAAACGGTCATAAAAATGGCCAAATACAGTGCCTCAGCATCTTAATCTCCAGAGATGAGATGTTGTAAGATTACTCCAGCAGCCAAACTAAGAGCCCAGCACCGATGAGGAGCCTGCGGAGACGCGGAGGGACGGAGACAGGGGTCAACAGCCTGCAGACAGCGCCGGAGCAGGCGGTGAGGTTCCCAGGGAGGAGGCAGGCATCACTTTGTGCTTCTGGTGTCACGGAGACCGAGAGGCTAGATGGGAGAAGGACGGTGGCAGTTTATAAAAGCTCAGGGCAAGCCGTGCCCTGCTGAGGGGGTGGAATTAGATGGAAGGGTTAGGAAAGATGGTCACGGAGGGTGGGCTCCTCCCGCCTGGCAGAAGAGCGTCGGGAACTCGAGGAAATGTGCGTGGATGGGCACCTGATGGCCACGTTCACTGCAGTGCCACCCGGGGCTTGTTTTGTTCATAAATGCAAAACTGAACAGTTAGCCAAGTAAGTGACTTTATTCTCATCACCACTGATAACATTCAAAGCCAATTATATGATAAAGCAATTCCATAAAATAAAGTATTTTATTGCAATTTCCTGTTGAAGAAAGATCCCTTCCTGACCTTTCTCCACAAACTCTCAGCGCCCATAACGAGCTTCCAGCCCAGTGCGGCGGGGTTGCCCTCGGCCCGCAGGCTGGGAGAAGCTGGGAGAAACTGATCAGGAAGACGTTTCGATCACCTCATTGGGGCCGTCTCCAATTTCCCTTCTTCTACAGCCGGTAATCTTCAGGTCTGGAAAACAAAAATCAACATTTATGTCTTCATGGCTCAGACTTCATTTTCACTCGCCCGGTGAAGATTATTTCTCCGATTTAATGTGACAGTAACTGTTCATCGAGAAATACCTACAAACACTGTATCTAACTTTTTGGCGCAAAACACTAACGGCAAATCCTTATGAAGTAGAATGGTTAAGCGACGATTCTCAAGTTCTTTTGAGAGTATAAATATAGGCCACTCGTATACCTATGTAACTTAAAAACTTCAATTCAATTCTGTGTTCTATTCTACAGTATTTTTTTCAGAGAAAGGATTACTATGATCTTTAAAAGCTATATGAAGATAAGGATTTACCTAAAAAAGGAAAATTTTAAGTAATTTTCTTAAGTAATTATATTATCATATGCTAAATTTAATTTTTACTATGAGCCACATACAAAATAAATATATAAAGAGTAAGTCTTTGATATTTTAATTATACATACAACTTTCTCTTTTCCTCTCTTATATATTTATAGGATTAAGCATACCTGAAAGTCACTTCTGGTAGTAAATTGAAACACAGAACATTTTCAAGGAAATGTTCAATCATAACAATGAAGAGAAGGAAATTATACAATGCAAAAAACTATAAAGTGTCCTGTTATTTTTTACATAGTGTATGTGTAGGTGTTGAACTCATAGGAATTTTTAGCAGGAAGTTAGTAATTAACAAACTAGATATTTTTGAAACAGCTGTAAAAATATTCGACAGAGTTCCCATAAAAGGAGATGAACTCTGTTTGCCCTGAAATGACTTATCTAGTCCCTTTCTGCATCTACAGTGTGTTTTCTTACAAATCACTCACAAGACACCAGCCAGCCAGCGGTGCAGACCAACAGTCTGGTGGCTGAGTAAATGAACTCCATGACAATGTAAAGTTATTATTTAACCCCGGGGAACCCAGGCACTGGTCTGGGAAACAGCCAAACATGCTCTGCCACATCAGCCATTGGATAACGAGAGAGACTGCGGAATTTTGTCACTGTTTTTGAAATCTCTTTTCAAACATAAAAACGGCTTCCAAAGTCTGGGAAGGACAGCCCGATACGCCAGCTGAAGGTGCGTTCGAAGTGGCATCTGGCATGCGGCTCGATGCGATCAAGGCGGTGACACCACTGAGCTTTCTAAGAAACAATCCATTCTCCGTCCAGCTGGTTCACAGAATGACCAGGGTGGCAGCGATGCCATGGAGCAACCTTAGACACCAACGTCCAAACAGGACGTCTCTGCACCTCCAGCCCACTGAGGTAAGTGTGCTTAGTCACAGTCTAGTTGTTTCCACACCAAAGGAACAGCGAGATGAAAAACGCACCTTGTCTGGCCAGTGTGGCTCAGTGGCTGAGCACTGACCCATGCATCAAGAGGTCGCCGGTTCAATTCCCGACCAGGACACATGCCCAGGTTGTGGGCCCGACCCTCAGTGGGGGCATGCGTGAGGCGGCCAGTCGATGTTCTCTCTCATCGATGTTTCTCTCTCTCTTTCCCTTTCACTTCCTCTCTCTCTAGAATCAACAAAGTAAAAAAACCAAGACAAAAAAACGCACCTTTTAAGGAACTTAGGAGTGAAATTGGAAATGCGTGTGAAGGCTGGAATCTGTAAGGCATGCAGACAGGGCCTAATAAAGGCCAAATTTGTTTCAAGGCTTTTGCAGAAAGACGGGAGGATGCAGTGAGGGCTCTGAGGCTTTAGCAGTGGTGAGGAAGAGGAGCAGGTTCGGTGTCTAGGGAGCAGAAGAGTTCGGAGTGTGGAGGGAGAGGGAGGAGAGCAGGGCAGGGCCAGGGAGACACAGAGGAAGGAGCTACGGGAAAACAGCACCAAGGCTGGCCGCTGCCTTCCTGCTAGCAGAGCCAGGGAGCGCGAGGCTGGGAGCCGCCTCAGGACAGGGGATGCAGGGGAAGCACGGATTCAGGAGGAAAGAATCTTGGTTCTGAATGTGATGAAATTGAACAGGACAGCAGCTAGCAATCAGAATTTGGAGTTATGGGGCAATGAGGCAAGAGGGAAGACATCTGAGAGTCTCTAAGAAGATTCTTTTCCATCCACTTCCATGTATCAGGGGGCCCTGCTTAAAAACCTTCAGGAGCCCTCCACTGCTTTGTCCAAGTTCAAACACCTGGGAATTCAGTATATCACCCTCCAACGACAGGCCCCAGCCAACCTTTCTGAGTCATTCTTTCTACACCTCGTTCCTCTACATTCTGGTCCCATCATCCACTTGCTGTTGCCCAGGTAAGAACGTCCACACCTCTGCAATTGGGTACCTGGGATTTCCTCTGCTCGGAATGTCTCATCTTTTATCTGCTCGGAGGGACTCGACAAATCTTTCAACACCCACCTCCGAATCAAATCTCCTGGGACACTCTTCCTTTCTAAGCTCGGCGGGGCTCCTTCCTCTGAGGTGGCCACAGGACTTCAGGCATACTTCTAGGAATTACGCTTGCCCTTACTTATGGAAATAAACTGTTATTATGGAAATAACATATGCTAAGTGCTTACTAGATGCCATGAAGTATACCACCTACTTCAGGTGCATTATCTCATTTTATCCTCCTCACTACTCTGAAAAAGACATTATCATCAAGTCCATTTCACAGCTGACAAAACCGAGGTTCCGAGGGCCGAGGAACTGCTCCAGCACCTGCGAGCACCCTTTTGTTCTACACGAGTCCTACCAGCTGCCCGTTCCTTTGAAGGCAGGGTCCCGACACCACTGATCTTACGTTTCCAGTAATGAGCAGCGCCCGGCATGTCATGGGAGCTTGAAACATGTCTGTCACTGGAGTGCAGTGACTGCCTTGAAAATGCCACTTTGTTTACAAACTCACCCTTTCCTCTTCCTACTGACAAGTCATCAGGATCTTTTGCAGACAGTTATTCTGCTTTGGTGGGCGCACAATGTCATGGCCGAGGGTCTAGATACTGCAGATGTTGGCCTAGCCAGAAACATCAACTCACATAGGAGACAACTCATATTACAAGGCGTTAGAAGGTGCCCCTGTGGGGGAAAGTGAGGTTTTTATACTAAATATGCATCTATTTCTCTCTCCACACACAAAGGAAAGCGCACAACGATGCATCTGTATTGCTTACTCCCTTCCACTGAAGAAGAAATCCGAGATGATATAAGAAAGGGGAGGGCGGGCTGTTTAGCTGAGTGCTTCTCAAACTTCAGTGCACGTGCAAATCACTTGGGCTCTTGTGAAAATGCAGATTCTGATTCGGGTAGTGTTGCTCATGGTTCTGCATGTCCTACCTGCTCCCACGCAATGCAGTGTGGTCCACAGACCAGACTGACTCGCAAGGGTTCACCTCAGGCCTCACAGAGCTTTTCAGATGACAGGGATGACCACTGAAAGATGCTGAAGAAAAAAGAAGCGCCTTCTGTATGAAATTTCTAAACACTGTGTGTCTAACAGAAGGTCACAAACTTCTTCCTGGGCCAGAGATGACTCCACTTGATATGTAATATCCTTCCTGGCGCTTCACCCACCAGAGGATGTTATCAACAGGCTGCTTTATGCTCTTCTGATACAATAACAAGTAATTTTTAATTGTGCTAATGTGTACTGGATACTGAAATTCCTTTGCTATCTATCATCAGAGGAAGGTTAAGCTGTAGTCCTTGTAGCTTTAGTCACTGAATAAATGTCACTGTATTTAGGTTCTTTCAAAGTTGCTAATCCATAAACGGCAAGACTAATCAGAACTGAATTCTCAGATTATGTTGCTCACATATTTATCCTATTTTATGTTTAGATCTACCTACTCTCTTTATTAGATTACTTTTCTAAGCAAGAGACCTAACATCTAGCATATTGCTTTTTTACACTATGTATGATTAATTGCCATTTTAAACTTTAATAAAGTGGTTTAATCTTTGTCAGAGGAATGATGGGTGAATTTATAGTCTATATATGCTGTAGTTCTTTGTCACTGTTTCATTACAAATAAATTATAAAGTTTTAAAATAAAAAATATAAACTTAATATATTTATAAATTTTGACAGTATTCTACAGGAAACTTTTGAAGAGACATTTCAAGTACTATTACAGACAGCTCATAATCTGTTTTTTTTTAAAAATAGAAATTTACTCTTTAACAGAAATATGTTATATCTTAACAAAATTAACACAATCTTTTCTGTATCTATCTATCTATATATATGATATGAAGTATCCAAAATGGGAATCCATCAGAGTTGCCCTAGACCACAGAATGTTAAGACAATGTCTATTTTAGCTATAGTTATTAAACATGCCTTAAGCAGCAAATAACAACATATAAATTGACCACACTTCATGAATTAAAAGTCAATTCCTCTTTCAGGGAAATAAGACTGCTCATTCATTCATTCAACAAAGATTACTGAGTGTCAGCTCCAACTGTGGGCAGAGAACACAGCAAGACACAGGCTCCAGCTAACCTTTCTGAGTCGTTCTTTCTACACTGTACACAAAGTTCACAGCAGCTTTATTTGTAGTAGCAAAAGGCCACGCATTCCTTCGACAGGCAGGGGGCGAACAGACTACAGCATGTCCACACGATCACATTCTATTCAGCAGTGAGAAGGAATGTGCTGTTAGTACTTCGAAGGCATGAGCTTGGATCTTAGGAAAGAACCTGGAGGCGCACACAGGATGATCAGTTCAACATGGGCCCCACAGACAGGGTCAGGTAAACGTACTGATGAGGCAGGCTGTTGATGGTACACTGTTGCTGCGAAAAAGGGAGCTGCAGACTGTATACAGTATGATCCATTTTTGGGTTTTATAAAAAGGGAGTAATGTGTGTATATGTACATAGTCAAAAGCACACGTGAAAAATGAGGACGGATGTATGCCAAACATTGCTTCCTTGTGGGGAATGACTTGAAGAAAAGATTTTCACTCTTTACTTGTTACTTCCGTTTAGTTTGAGTTTTACTACTTTCACAGTAAAGAAGAAAGATGGTTACTGCAGATTTGACT